CAAAATGCATGTTTTCATTTTTGTTTTCCCGGACATTATGGGCTATGACGCGGGTGCCAAAAATATGTCTTGAATGAGTCCATTAATTTTACGGAATATTATCAAGTTGGGATTTTAGCAAGATTTTAGTATTAATTTCTGTGTAATTTGTTGCAGGAATGTTCTCCTTTCCTTATTCATACTCAATATTTTATTTTTAAAGATTTGATGCAATTACAAGCTTACAGAAAAGTTGCAAGCACAGTACGAAGACCTTTCCCCTGCAAACCATTTGAGTGTAAGTTGCCGCTTTGATGCTCCATTATCTTGGAATACTTTACATGTATTTCCTACATTTTTTGACCACTTCCTTGTTTTTAGGCACAGCAGGAGATTCCAGGTTCATCTTGGTCTTGGCCTGCTCAGTCCTGGAATCAACCCTTTTTCTAAGGAGCTCTGATTCCCTACTAGTGGAGAATAGTTCTTAGAAGCCAAGCTCAGGGCCCTGGATATGCTTATTGCTATTAGGGCATCGCCATTTCCAGCCCTTCCTGGTGGACAGAGCTAGGGGTTATTTACAGCAATATCTATTTTCATTTGTTTATATACTGAAAACCATGAACTAACACTGGTATCTCCAACACCTGATCACGGGCTCATTCTAGTTTTCTCCCTCTTGATGTTTGCAACTCCCTTTTCTGACAGTGAAAAAACTGGCTACTATTATCTCTAATGTATTTACTTATTTAATGGGTCCCTTTATACATGACTAATCTATTTCTGATGCCATCTCCTTCCCTCCTGACTCCCTCCTTCTCCTTGGGTCCTCCTTCTATAATTCTGAAATTCCAAATTTCAATTTGGGGGAGGGGTTTCCACACACACCCAAGCCATTCTCAGACACCAGCTGTGTGTCCTACAATTCAACTCAGTGCTAACACTATCTACCTGGAGATAGAGTCAGAGCTCACAGTTTAAGGGCTCATTCCTACGAGACGGTCCCCCCACCCATGTCAGTCACAAAGTCCAGGTTGCCACTCGTGCTTCTGATAAACTGGCTATAGATCTGAGATTCCAATGACTCACAGAACTCAAGAGAAATGTTTTACTTACTCCATCCCCAGTTTATTATAAAAAATAACTCAGGAATAGCCAGATGGAGGAGATGCAAGGGGTAAGGTTTGGGGAAAGGGGGCGGAGCTTCTTTCCTCTCTGAACACACCACTTTCCATGAATCTCCACATGTTCGCCAACCTGTACTCTCTCCCAGCCCAGTCCTTTTGGGTTTTTCTGAAGGCTTCATTACATAGGCATGATTGATTAAACCATTGCCTATTAGTGATTGATTCAACCTCCAGCTGCTCTCCTCTCCCCAGAGGGTCAAGAGGGTGGGATTGAAAGTTCTAAACTTCTTATCACATGGTTGGTTTCCTTGGCAACCAGCCCCATCCTTAGGTGGGGGTCCAAAAGTCACCTTTAACAGTTGCATCACTTAGGAAATTCCAAGGGTTTTAGGAGCTCTGTGCCAGAAACAGAGATGAAGACCAAATATCTTTTTCTTATTATAAATCACACTAGCACACACCCCATGTCAGGCTGCCCTCCTCACTGCACAGACCCTGGTACCTCGTGCTGCTGCTTGCCAGGGTCTGCCCCCTCACCCTGTCCATCTCGGACATTCTGTTCAGGGCCACAGTCAAGCACCGAGGCCCTCCTCACCCATCCAGCCTCTGACTTCACAATCGGCTGCTTCTCCTTCTCTCCTCTGACCCAAGGATGCCCCCTCCAATCTTTGATCTGACTCTTGACCCCCCCACATCAGGGCACTGCTTTGTGTCGATGCCCTCCTTTCCAGCTTGGGCTCTGACAAACTGTACCGGGAAGGAAGCTTCACTCATCATACTTGGGTGTTGACATTCTGTGCTAGGGTACATGAATACACTCTTACCTCATTAGGGATGCATCCTCTGATTTCCAAAGTTTCCTCCCCCAATCTTGACACCTTTGTCACCCTGCTTGGGCTCTAACAGCTCACGCTAAATTTCCCTCCCACTTGGATACCTTTCTTCCCTTGTTCAGGTTCCAACACCCTTCTTTGGGCCCCTGTGACTGCCCACCACACAGATACTATTTATTATGCTATGCTTCCCCCTGATGGCTTTAGGACTGGGAGAGACAGAAAGAGAAAAGAAGGGGAAGAAAGGAGAAGACATACCATTTTCTAGGTTTACTGTTTGGTCCTTCCAGAGGAAAATGAATGCATGGAAAAGTTGAAAAGTGGCCAATTTGCTCCTTATTTGCAATAGTACAAAAAGATTTGGACTTAGAAAAATTTGAAAGAGATTAGAAAAATAAGGTTTGATGTTAAATGCCCTTTCAAGTGGAGAACTGAACTTTTATTTATCTTCTAGGTGTTTCATGTTTTGTTCTGATAGATGACTTCTAAATTAGACATTTAGAAATGAAAAGGCTGGAATGAATATTTGTGCTTCTATCCCAATTTTTTTGTTTCATAGATGAGGGAATTGAGTCTTGGTTAGGTCAAATGACTTTCCCAGGTTTCCCAGGTGACATAGTCAGAAAGGAAAAGGACATGTTTCTACATCCTGGCCAGTGTTCTTGGCACTCTCCCTTCATTATGATCATTTAAAATTAGTTGACCTTTAAGGCAAATTTCTGAGAAAAATTAGTTTTTACATTACACCTTACGTTTTTAATTGGAAGTCATTTTCTTCAGTAATGATATTGCTGGTAGAATGCTATATTTTTTTGGCCCTAAAATATTATCTAAGTAGTGCTTTGGTGATTATATCTCACTAGAGTGGAAGAAATTAGCCTCACCAATTTGGTAGTTAGTAACTTGTAATTTTCTGAACACTCTCTTTTAATTGCATGCTTACACTATGTTAACTGTTTTTGGTAAAGATGCCAAGCAAGAAGATTATTATTTATTTTACTATTTATCATCTTGTGGGGTTGATGGACTGGCAAAATGTATATATATAGACACAAATGGCTGATAAATAAAATTTTATTTTGAAAATCCACAAGATAAAATTTGTATTATTTGTATTATTTGAAACCCATTTACATTTGTGGAAAGTCCAACATCTTATCAATGTTGCAGTTCAACCTGGGAAAGAATAGCTTGTTGGGTGTAGGTGAACCATCTAGAGTGTTCATTGATTTCCAAGATCACCTTGAGTTGCTGGGGTCAAAGGAAAACTAGGCAACAAACTATATTTAAGGATCCAAGAAATATCTTGAAGTGCCCCCATCAGTTGTGTAATTTAAGAGCTTAAGTGTGTCATGAACTTATTTCTGGCCCTTGGGTGAAATATTTGCCCTTTTTTGCACCAATGTAATTCTGTAAATTAGTATCAACGAATACACAGATTTTATAGTTGGAAAGGACACACCATCAAGATCATTTTGTTGATCTCCCTCCAAGGCAGGAATCCTACATACCCCTGAGTTTGAATCACTTTCAATCATGGGGAAATCACTACATCCCAAAGAAGTTGTGCCTTATTTTCTGCAGAAACTTTCCTCTTGGTAACGTTGCCCTGTTACTGCTGCCTTCTGCCCTCTGTAGTTAAAACACAGTTAAACCCTCTCCATATGGCAGCCCTGCAGTTATGTCCCCCTGGGTGTTCATCCTTCTGGAATTTTCTCTCCCTGTCTCTTTCTTCCATCATCTAAGTTCCTCATGGGAAATGAGATCCTTTCCCCTGCCTTTTGTCTGGACTCAGTGCCTCTTTTAAAATGTGCTATTTTAGGAGGCTGTGCACTCTCCCCCATGACAGACAAGAACAACGCTTTGAGTTCCTCTTATTGTCCTTAGCCATGTAACAGTGATTCGTGGTTTCACTTTATTTCTGGACAGTTGTAGCCACTAGACACAACCTTTGCCCTCAAACACCGCATTCACTTTGCACAAGCTTGTTGACCTCACACCTAAGTCAGCTTTTCTTGAACCCTCATCTGAACAAACAAACATTCATTCTGATCTGCGGATATCCCTTGCGGCGTCAGGAAGGGCCGGCTTGAGCAGTGCCGGCTCAGAGAGCTCGCCACCACCGCTACAGATTTGGTTTCCTTTTTCTCCTGATGTTAAGTAAGACAAAAAACCAATTCCTGCTAACCTCTTAGACAATGCAAAGGGTTCCAGACTCTATTCCAGGAAGTTGGTTTCAACAAGCTAACAAAGAGACCACCGAGACCAGAAAGGAGGCTAGGAATACGGACCAGGAGGTGGCGTTCAGGTAACCCCCAGGGGGGGACGGCGGGGAGCCGGCTCTGCCGAGGGTGGGAGTGCGCCACGGCAGCCAGGAGGGACGGCCAGAGGCTGTGCGCCCCGGCGTGGACGCGCGCGGGAGTTCAGGCCGTGGGATGTGTCACCACGTGCTGCAGGGAGGCGGGGACAGGGCCCTCTCCTCCAGTTATCAGTAAAGAGCGCACGGCAGGATCTCGGAGTTTCACAGCGGACTTGCCTGACATAGTGTTGAGAGAGAGAGAGAGAGAGAGAGAGGGACTGACTCACGTGGACAGAAACAGGCGGAGAAACAAACAGACGAGGTGAGAGCTTAGCAGGCTAGCTATCCTACTAGCCTGCCATTGCAGAGAAGAGATCTGGGAGAGGGAGGGTCCCGTCTAGACACTCAAACCCCAGGACACCGGAGGGGCCATTTCCTGCAGCTTCCTGGGGGCTACACGTCTCACCCCTTCTAAGTTTGCTGTGAGGGAATTAAGCAGAAAGAAAGAAGAGGAGGTGGGGTTCTACAGCCCGTGTACTTTTAGTTCTTCCTAAGAAGTGGCGCGGTGTAGGGCTTTCTATCCGGAAAGAGCGTGTGTCATCACACTGCACGCTAATCCTGGGACGTTTGCAAACCCGGCTCCGGGGCAGTTGGCCCCATGCCCGGCCGGGCGTTCGAGGGCTCCGGCCTCGCAGTGCTCCCGGGGCCGGCCGGCGGTAGCCGGGTGGCCTTTATCTCTGTCCCCCTTTGTCCTCTTTATCTCAGGCTCTCCAGGAGGCCCGGGGGCCCGCTCTGTCTATCGCTCCCCACCCCCAGCGGCACCGCCACTTCAATGCCCGGCAGGTCGCGGGCTGCTGCTCTTTCGAAGGCGGCGGAGGACCAAGGGCGCCCCGCGCCACCGCTGACTCGGACCGGCGCCGACGCCTGACCCGCGCCCTTGGGCACCGACTCGGGTGCGCCCGGCGCTTCCCTGTGCGCTCCAGTCCGTTTCAGGCCCGCGAGGGGCAGCCTCGGCCAGGATGGCCCCGGGCCGGGCGGTGGCTGGGCTCTTGCTGCTGGCGGCCGCCGGCCTCGGAGGGGAGGCGGCGGGGCCCGCGCTCGCCTTCAGCGAGGATGTGCTGAGCGTGTTCGGCGCGAACCTGAGCCTGTCGGCGGCGCAGCTCGGGCGCTTGTTGGAGCAGCTGGGAGCCGCCCCCGTGGAGGGCGACCCCGAGCCCGGGCAGCTGCACTTCAACCAGGTAGGGCGCGGGCCCGGCCGCCCTTCCCCGCCGGGGTTTCCGGAGACGTCCATTTGCCCAGGAACGCTGTTTAATGGGGAAAAGTGCTGGAGAAAGAATTTCGTTACGTTTCTCCAGTGTGAGGCGGGCCCTGCTTTTCACTAGACCTGGCTCTCTGGCCGGGGTTAAAGTGCTGGCGGTGACGAGGGAGCCAGAAATTGCAGTTTTACGCCCGATGAACTGAGTCCTCAGACGCTTGTGGTTGTAAGATTTTATGCAAACGTTTATGAAGCAGCTGAGAGCGGGAAGCATCTTAGGAGATGCGTTTTAGATAGGAATGGCGTCCTGAAGTCTTCCCGGCAGAGACAGTGGCTCACAGGCCACCCTGTGAGCCTGTGCCGTAGCTCGGTGGGTAACGACTGCTATCGAGATGTAATGTAGCTGTGTCTTCCTGGTGTGCGTTACCCGAGGCATTTGGGTCTGAAGGGCCTACTGTATAGAGATAGGGAGGCCGGGGGGGCCCAAGATCAAGCACCCAGTCGGTGGGTCGAACTGGGTTTAAAGCCATAGCTTTTGGTCATCTGTCAGGTCAAGGGTTTGATTCGAATGTTCATTCATTCATTCAAAAACGAACAAACAAACCTATCTTAGGACATATTCACAGTATTATACAGGCATTTGGTAATTCCTAAAATTTAAGGGTCACCGTGAGTTACCTAGGAGCAATTAAGACCATACCTGCTAGTAAACTTCAAAAAGGATGATATTATAGATTCTTCGTTATTTCCGTCATAAATATTCTATGATTATTTCTTAAAATTGTGAAGTAAGCGAAGTGTGCTTTTGGCATCCTCCCCCAAACTTCTCTCTGCTTTTAAAAACTCTGTTTACTCAGTGCTTTGATTTTTATTTTCTTCTGCTCTGGTTCCAGTGACAACTGATGATGAATGGCAGTGTTCACTATTTTCTGTATTGTTTGTCACTTCTGCGTGATATTAGTTTGTGTTACAAAAAGTTGTTGTGGCCCAAGATGCTTGGGAAATGCTGCATACTATACTCCACTCCTGGAAATCTAGCATTTCCCGATGTATTTGACCTTAGATTACAGTTAGGGAAACTTTAATCAGATAAATTCCTTGCTAATAACATTATAGTTTGGCATTCTTTTTGTTAGAAATATCTTACCTCATTTAAAACATGCAATATTCAAGAAGTATAAGGCTCTGATGCCATGAGGGATCAAAGTGACCTCCCTTTGATCTAGAAGGGTTTTGTGGTCCTCTTATGCATGTTCATTAGTAAACTATAGATCCAGTTCTGGCATGGCATTACAGTTGGTTCAATGTCTAAGAAATGATACATTGGAAAAACTGAAATGACCCCATGTTATACTGATATTTTAGAAAATAAAGCAAACAACTTCCTAAGTATTTTCTGTCTAGTTGCAGTCTCTTCAAGTGGGGGAAACAGCTGACCTGACTAAAGCATTTCTAGGTAGGAGTAGGGGCGGTCATATGCTTGGAAAGAAGCTTGGGGACTTGACTTGCAGCTGCGTATCTGTAGCCCACACATTGTTTTGACTTAAATTATCTCCTTATGTTGCAATGTCTGGAGGTGTTGATGAATTATAAAGGGACAATAGACCGCTGAGCCACGCCTTGGCAAAGACACCGGAAAATATACCTAAATAATTCAGGAAAATTGCTTAAGTTTATTAGCAGTATGAGTCCCAGTTTATGAGTAAGTAGGACACCTCAATAGGTAAATTATAACTATGTTGACACCTTGTTTCTCACTCTTCTGTTTGCATATTTAACTACCCTCATTATGGCCTCTGTGGGCATCAAAAAGAGATGGGAAGAAGCCCATAGTTACTTTGGAAATAAAGGGAAGCCGTGGAAAATTTATCACTTAATCAGACCTAGCGAACGTCTGTTGGATGTTCTAAAAAGTCCTAATGAAAACACCAATCATCAGTTAAATGATGTCGAATGAAATGCCATTCCGGAAGAATCTGTTAATTTGCTGACATTTATTTCTGCTCCAGTAGGAAGTCATCCAGTTTGGAGGAAAATTTAGGGCTGTTAATATCTCCATACCTTAAAGAATGCAATTTTAGTTTCCTTACCTGCAGCAAAGTAGAATAGTAATATATGTGAAAAGCTTGATTTTCTGACTTTGCAGAAGGTTGAAAAGATAGAATTAATTTCTTTGGGCCAGGGATTTATTGAATCTTCTATGAGATCTGTTTACAGATGACATTGTTCCTTTGGATGAGGGCTTAGGTCAGCTTTTCCCATGTAATAGGACTACTGTACTAAAAATTGAGACAATTTTGGAAGGTCTTCTAATATTTTTTCAGCGTCCTTAAGTACTATTAAAAGAACTTGTTGCTTTGGGATATCAAAGTGACCTGAGTTCAAACTGGAAACGATAGAATAATTGAGTTTACTGTTTTGCTTCTTATGGTTTCTGAGGGTACAAATAACAGGTGGAAGAAGCAACCCAAACAAGTGAGAGGAGGGAGTTCTTTTATCTAAAGGGGTCTCTGGGGCCCATGACTGAGTGTAAGTCTGCTGTATCTCAGGGAGTTTCTAAAATACAAAGGGAAGCCCCAGCTGAGTGAATACCCTGGGTGATTAATTTGGGGGATTTAAGAATGGGCTCAGTGCCACCTTTTGTTTGTTCAGATGTTCCTTTCTCATTCTCCAAGTGGTCTTTTCTCTTAATTTCTCCTTCAGAACGCCTCATCTCTAAATGATCACAGGAAGCTGCAGGAAATGCCTCCATTTAAATAACTCAGTCTCCTGAGGAGGCTTAGTGGGGGTGATGGAGATGTGGGTGTGGGTGTGGCAGGTTGGCATGTGAGGCAACCTTTGTTTCCCACCATCACTCAACCTTAGACTTTTGCTTCTCTCTCCGAACTTTATTTTTTCATTTGATACGTATCCTGCAGCGCATCTTCTTTTTTTTCTTCTTTCACAGGTTGCCTGAACTTTGTTTTAAAATCCCTTTCAATTCACCTTCAGTCTTCCTAAAGCAATACGTGGAGTGTGCCTCTCTTTTCAGGTCTCCTCCATGAACTGTCTCTTGGCTGGTGAAGTCTAAATCTGAAGCCTGGCACTGAAGGCTCTGCACCGCGAGGTTGACCCTGAGATGTTAACCTGCCTGCTCAGACCTAGCACTCACTAAATTAAATTATTCATTCTTCTATGAAATCACTTATACTTCTACTCAACCACTTTTCTACCTCGTCTTCCTTGCACCCTTCCTGTTTCCAACTGCAATGTCCTTTTTTTTCCTTGAATTGCCCTATCAAAATCTTAAATTTTAAAAAAACCCAGCTAAACTCCATAAAACCTTTCTGGGGCATCACAACCACCACTGATTTGCTGTCTTTTTGAATTCTTGAAATTTTTTAGTATGCTAACGACACTTAGCTATTCATGTGTTCAACAAATATTTCAAATAACTACTATACTCTGATTAGAGTGGTCCCTTAAAAGTACAAATCTAATCATATTGCTCATTTTATTAAAACAATTAAATGCCTTCAAGATAAACTTTAAACACTTTAATGTGGCTTAAGCCTTTTTATGATCTGGTTCCTGTATATTTCTCAAGCTTTATCCTTTGCCATTATTCCAGTCTTCATGGACTGCCGGTAGTTCCTGGTTTGCCATATATGTGTGCTTATGTTTTAGGTATCAGTTTAGACATTACTTCTTCCGAGAAGCCTTTCTTAGCCTGCTCAGGGGTTCAGTAGGAGCCCCTTTTTATGTGACCCTATATTAATTGGTGCCTATGAAATCATAACATATTATATATTGCAATTATAATATGGACATAATTTTATACGTATTATAAATTTCTGTTTATATGGCTTCTCCTCGACCCCAACACACACACCCAATACGATTTTGAACAGATTGAAGGGACTGATCTGACTCATCTCTCTAGGGGCTAGTGTAGTGCCTGGTACATAACATGTATTAATTATATATATTTTTGAATGAATGAGTGAAGATGGTTTAATATGAGTAAGGCAATTTGAGCCCTCACATGACTTTACAGTTAATAGGTAGACGTATGACATGTGCACACATAACTATAATGCACGATAGAACGATATGTCTGATCAAAGAATTTCAGAGACAGTGGAATGGGATCAGGCTTGTGTTTTTGGAAAATTCATCTGCATGAGAGTGTGGAATGTGTCGGAGTGGGTCCAGACAGGAGCTGAGGAGGAAACTGCAGTGGTTTGTAGGAGATGTAATGATTGCTTGATCCTGGAGGCCATCAGGAGGTACATAAAAGCTCTGCCTTCTTCTGGAAGAGGAGTAGGCAAAAGCCCCAAAGGTTGATATTTTCTACTTCAGTCTTGCCTGTAGCAGTCAGTCATTTAACTATTGTTAGATCTTTCCTTTCATTATGGCCCAAGGATGCCAGAGGGTGAGGCAGTGAGGTAACTCTTGGCTTATTTCAATGGACGGCCAGGCTAGTGGTCTGTAGCAAACAGAAGGGGTGTATGCGTGTGGTCATTACATACATGTTGTATGCATAGCTTGTTGTTGCTTAGTGTACTTTTTCTAGGGTTGGGGGTTAACGGTGCATTAGATGAGGGAGGTTCTGGGAAGCACTGATCATGGATGGAGGGGAGAAAGAGCATCTCTCTCCCTCTTTTTTTTTTTTTTTTTCTTTATATTCTGAGAATTGCGGGGGGTAAATCTTCTAGGAATGACTTCCAACCTGCTTGTTCAGGTGAGAAACTGGCAGGAAGGGCCGGACCGAAGGGCCAGGTTGTGCTTAGGTCTCCGGTGGCTTTTCCTTCAAGACAATGGATCTATTTTGATATATCACTCTTATGTAAGTTGATTGTGTACAGTGTGATCATTATTTCCAAAAGGTTTTAGGAAAATGAGAGACACTCATAATTCATTTGACTGTGATGTCAAGAGCTTAGTTTGCTTTCGTGCCAGGGATGATTGCGATCCATATGAGAAAATACCCTTCATTCTTTC